AAAATGACTAAATAATAAAGGAAGGACTTTTGCCTCTTTCTTCCTCGGGTTTCGTGGACAAGAACCCAACGTTGCTCCAGGAAGATGGAGCACCGTGTCACACTGCTAGAAACACCCAAAAGTGGCAGGAAGAAAATGGCCAACCTCCTGACATGAACTCCATCGAAAACCTCTGGGCCATACTTGACCAGCAAGTCAAGAAACAACAACAAAAAAAAACTTCAAAGAGCGATCTACTCTGAGTTTTGAAGCAAGAGTGGGCGAAAATCCCACACTTTAAATTGACGAGATGATTCTCACGATGTCCCAAAGGATCAACGAACTCCACGAAGCGAAAGGAAGATCTACTAGATATTAATTAAATTATAAATATATCAATTCATGTGAATATGACTGAAAAAATTCATTTTTTTTTCTGAAAAGGTGGTGTCTATTTACTTGTGACCACGCTGTGTATATTGATACTCATATATACCCAAAAGCTCCGTAATCTGTAGGGCTGTTGTGGGTGTTAAGGCTTATGAACACCTGAAGAAAGAGGGGTGATCCCCGAAACATCGTTCTAATAAATTTGTTTTTTACTGAAACAGCACTGATATTACACCATGTTAATTACTGTATACTGAACACTTGGCCAAATCAGAGGATCGACCTTTCCGTCGCTATTTAATTTAAAACAAAAATTAAACTCAACTTAATATTGAAGAAAATTAGAGCTGCCAAACCTTACCTGTTTGCACAGACGTTAAAATCACATGATATCAGAGCTACCAAACCTTACTTGTTTGAAGAAGGTTAAAATCATGTAATTTTTAAATGTTTAACCCTCGAAAACCAATTGATATATAATCCGCGATTCTTATACAACATGGGTGTAAACCATTCTCCTTTAATTAACTTTTGTCTCGTCCTTTAATCACAGATTAGTTTCATAATGTATTGCTTCATTACCTCAAAACGTTTAATTGAACGTCATTGATAAACAACGGAACTATAAAACTAACCTTGTGCATGTACACGTATATCTTCATATGAAATACAGCTCTATATAGACTTATTTAAGACGTTTCAGTATGATTTACGTTAATTCAGATAACTTATGTTTGAAATATATATGAATAATTGTTTGAATATTAAATACAAAAGAAACAAAACAATGTTTCTAATGCAATCTTGCAAATCTTTAATGCACTAAAGGATTAATAATTGAAGATAAGTTACGACAAACGTAAGTCGCATATCAAGGCTGATATTTATATTAAATTGTTTGTTCGCTTTTCATTTTGATTGGTCCTCTTTGTAGTAACTTTAACCTTTGATCAACATTCTCAAATACCTTAAAAATTAGTAGTATGCAGGCATATTACGTGTTTCCTACCCCTTTATTTAATATTATTTTAATTTCTATGCATTCTCTACATAGTGTTTATGTATTGTTACGTATTTGGTCGTTTGTTAATTTCCGGTATAAATTCTTTCCGAGGAACTTGAGCAATACAAGTCCTTTCTTAATTAAAACTAGTTTATTCTTTCTCGATACAACTTTGTAAAAAACAGAATTTCCACAGTCACTTTAAACTTAACAACCTTTATAACACACGCTTTAAATCACACTGATTCACACACTTTACTTATGGTGTCTACTGTTCGCTTGACTCAATTATCTCTATCTGCATATCTCCATCCTGCTGGCTTTATTTGTCAGGCTTATGTACTAAAAAAGAGAGCGTCCCGAACAAACTACGAAATTCACGATCATTCGAGAAACTCCTCGCACACACCACAAGCGCCAATGCACCAGCAGCGTCACGTGACTTCTGCTGTC